AGTTTATAGCCAAGACTATTCAGGGAAGGCCCCGATACAAGATTCCTACTAATTTCCGGAGCATACAACACATCCCTAAGAATGATTGCATTCCCCGAACTAAACATTAGTTCTACTTGTCCTCTACCAAGGACCTTGATGGTTGAATTGTTCCCCATAAAGAGATTTTCTCCATCACCAACCTTGTGAAAGGTTTTGAACCAATGCCTCATCTTGCATACATGCCTTGAAGCCCCCGAATCAATCCACCATGAGTCATCATCCTGCACCATAAAAATGTTAGGATCCGTTGCATTTAAATCCAAACCGGAATTAAATTCAACCTCATGAATTGGATTACCTTTGGTGGGTTGTTCCTTGCTAGTACTAGCATGGCCTTCCTTGGCTTTCTCCATCCTTTTCTTGTAAGAAAAGCAGTCCTTCTTGCGGTGAACAACTTTACTGCATTCCCAACAAGCAAACTTGTTATTGTTTGCTTGCTTCTTGGACTTTCCCTTGAAAGAGGTATTATTTTTCCTCTTTCCACTAGTGGAAGCACTAGGTTTTCCTTCCTCTACCAAATTGATGGTAGATGAGCTAGGATTCCCATCCTTAGCACTTTCCATGGCTCTTATCCCTTCTTCAACTTGAAGATGGGTGGCCAACTCGGACAAAGACATGTCCTCTTTCTTGTGTTTAAGCTCATGCTTAACACTTTTCCAACTAGCAGGCAACTTGTCAATTATACTTGAAACTACAAACAATTCATCCATAGAAATACCATGTTGTTTCAAGTTTCCATAGATTCGTTGTAATTCATGAAATTGGTCAATTATGGACCGACCATCAACAAACTTAAAATTATTGAAATTACTTACTAAAAACTTCTTACTTGAAGCATCTTCAGCCATATATTTGCCTTCTAAGGACTCCCAAAGCTCCTTAGCCGACTCCACATTTTGATAAACATCAAAAAGATCATCCTCCATACCATTCAAAATATTACCACGACAAATAAAGTCATCGTTGTCCCATTTTGACATTTCCCGAACATTTTCCAAGGATTCTTTCTCATGTTCACTAGGTCATGGAGTACTGATAACATATGCTACTTTCAAAGATGTAAGAAGAAAGTACATCTTCTTCTTCCATCTCCGAAACTCCACACCGTCAAACTTCTTGAGTTTGACAAAATTTGTGGTCAATTCTTTCACACTAGACATGCTTGATTACTTCTAAACGATTAAACTCTTTAGTTTGTTAAGTTTTCAAGTAATTCTAGAACAAGAACTACTTTAGCAATTGTGGGAACAAAACCTAACTATGTATAATTGATAATGAATTATACAAAAATCCAAATACAATTCAATGTATTACAACCAAACACCAAATTACTAAAGAATTACAGAAAATACAATGAAAAACACTAGTTGTGAAAGATAATGTACTTGCCTCTACTCCAAGCTTTAACAATCAACATGAACATGAGAAATCGGTGACCACTTGAGTCTCAATCCTTGATACACTGACTTAGGCGTATGAATACATTCCTAAAGAGTTTAATTTCCCCCACAATGGTGCTTGGGTTTGATCCGGAAATACTCTTTGAGATACAAAAGTCAGCCCAACGTTCTTTGCACTAAGAATCGATGAAAGATGATCAAAACACTAAGAAGGATTAATTAGAAGAGATTTCTCACAAAATTTTGCAAGAAGTTTGTGAGGAATTGTGAAGAATACTTTGGGAAGGAAGAAGAATAATTCTGTATATTTCGAATCTGAAAAACAAGCCTTTTATTAAAGACTTAACCATCAGAATTTCGCGAAAACAAACAGGCGCGGGCGCTCCACCAGGAGGCGCGGGCGCGCCAACATGAGGAGCGGGCGCTCCTATATTAGGAGCGGGCGCTCCTACCAAAACATGCGAAATTTCACAGGAAGGCAGAAGAGGTCGCGGTTTTAGCGCGACCAGCAGCGCGGGCGCGCCAACCAGGAGGAGCGGGCGCTCCTATATTAGGAGTGGGCGCTCCTCTCCTGTACTTCCAAAATCCATCAAGGGAGGCAGAAGGGGGCGCGGTTTAGGCGCGACCTAAGCGCGGGCGCGCCACTTGGACGGGCGGGCGCGCCAAACGACACGCGGGCGCGCCAACTTTCTCCTTTGAAACCTTCAGATTCCAGTGAGGTCCGCGGTTTAGGCGCGACCGCGCTTACCCAGCGCGGTCGCTACTCATGGTTCGCGAGCGCGCAACCATCAACCCTCTAAATCTTCCAACACAAACGAAAACACATCTTCAACAAATTTAACATCCCGAGACACAAAAAAAACTTTCAAATCAAGATCATATAATCTCCACCCTTTCTTCCCAAATGGATAACCCACAAAAACACACTTCCAACTCCTACTTGCAAATTTATCTCCATTTGTTTTCTGACTATGAGCGAAACATAACCACCTAAAAGTGCGAATAGCATCAAATAAAGGTGGTTTATCAAAAAGAATTTCAAAAGGGAGTTTTGTTATGAAGCAAAGGAGTTGGAATTCGGTTAATTAAATGAGCTGCATCAAGCACACACTCACCCCAAAAACATATCGGCAGTTTAGCTTGAAATCTCAAAGCTCTCCCAACTTCCAAAATGTATTTATATTTTCTCTTAACCCTCCCGTTTTGTTGCGGTGTACCCACACAAGAGGTTTGAAAAATAATCCCATTTGTAGCAAAAAAATCAAGTAAACAATTAAACCCGGTACCATTATCACTTTGCACGACTTTAATTGTTTGGGAAAATTGTCTTTCTACCATAACTACAAACGTTAAAAACATACGAAACACCTCAGTTTTATCATTCAACAAGTATATCCATACTTCTCTAGAATAGTCATCAACAATTGTTAAAAAATAACGAGCTCCGCACGACGAAACATGACGATATGGACCCCATAAATCACAATGAACTTTCTCAAATATCTAGATGCTTTATTATCACTCAAAGTAAAACTATCTCTAGGATGTTTAGCACACATACATACTTCACACCCCTTATCTAGACTATCTTTGTAATTAACAGTAAGAAGCAACTTAACTACTTTCTCGGAAGGATGACCCATACAACGATGCCATAGCTCCAAATTAGACCTTGCGTCAATAGAACCCACATGATGCACTGAATCCGATTTTCTAAAATAGTACAATTCGTCCCTCTTAGCTCTCATTCCAATCAACTCCTTCGTTTGGTCCTGTATAGCACACATATAAGAGTTAAATTGGACAATACAATTAAGCTCATCATTAAGCTATGAAACAGAAAGTAAATTACAACTCAAATTAGGGACATAAAGCACCCCAGTTAGAGTAATTTTGTCCAACAGACGAACGGAACCAACAAGAGAAGTCAACATTGTTTCACCATTTGGTAACTCTACGGGACATTCAAAACTTTTTATGTCAAAAGGCTAAGATTATTCAAAGAGGTATCATCAAACTTATTATTCAAAAAAATTTCAAAAATTGTGGTATTACCCACCAAACCTATAATAGCTTTCCAGTGTTTATTTGTAAATAACTGACCATTCGAACTCGAACCAAGACCATGATTGGCCGATGTAGCATTAGCCCGCATCAGACCTTGACCACTATTGCACTCGATAATTGGTGGTGGTGGTGGTGTATTGCTGCCGTCCACCATGATTTACTGAAAAAAAATTATTAAAAAAATTAAAAAATTGAACTAGGCTCTGATACCATGTAGAATTTGTATGAACTTATGGCTTAATTCTCATTAATGAATCGATTACAATATATAGCTAATGCTAACCCTAGAATTACCATAACATTAGTAACTAGAGATTAGGAAACAATATAAAAAATAACCCCAAATAACTACCAATTATTCCCACAAAATATATCCTCAATAAAAATACGAGGAAACGAAAAATAATACTCCGTATGAATAATCCCTTCAAAAGGTAATATTACGGGAGTATCTTGATTATAAATGTTACTCCATTCATTTCAAAATGGAACACCCCCCCCCCCAATAACCAATTAGAATAGATAGCTTGAATTTGACTTTTGCCCTATTTATATACATCACTTTGACCTTCATTTTTGCTTTATACACGGTAAAAGATTAATTATTATCAATTGGTTACTCGTTAGAATCGCCACAACGTAGTTTCTGAATATAAACTTTTTATCACTTATACTTTTTATAATTAAAGATACTTTTAGTCAAAATTCCCTGTTATCACATATGCCGGTCAAACCAAAGCATTTATGTTTTAGGCTGTCCCCATTAATATCCTATATGAACATTGTTTGTTAATATAGTGGCATATTCGTAAATAATAGTACTTCTCTCTCCTCCACTCCCATGGCTTTCCCCTCCCATGGCCACTCAATTTTCTCTCCTCCCCTTCCATGGCCACTATTCCTTCTCTCTCCTCCCCTCCCATGGCCTTGTCGACCATCCGACCACTATCGCGAGTCTAAACCGGCCGGCCAAACAAAAGACACCCTAGTAGGACATATGTAAAGTGGGCCCATACTAACCCCTTAGGGAAAGGGTGGTGCTCGCGAAGGAGCGACAATCGTTTAGTGGTACTAATGGCTGTGTAGTGGTCAATTGGTGGTGGTAGTGGTCGATTGGTGGTCGTACGGTGGTCGAATGGTCGTGCTAGTGGCCGTGCGTGGTCTGATGATGGTGTTAGTGGTGGTGCGGCAGTAGAAGGTGGTGCCAGTGGGTAGTCTAGTGGTGATAGAGGAGAGAGATGGGGTATTTGTTTAAGAATTTACCAAAAAATTTTGATATTAACAAGTTATGTTAATATAGGATATTAACTTGTATTTTCTCTTTATTTTTGATACATAGAAAATATCACGGAACACAATGAGGAGTCCGTGTAATTTAAACATAAACTTGTAATACACCCAATTATATAATAAAAATCGTCGACGAAGAACAATAACGTGGCGTGGCCCGTGTGTAGTGCGCGTTGAATTACCGCGTGGAATCGAATTCCCAAAGAAATGAAGAAAGGGTGATAATCATATTATTAATATTATCTCTCTTTTATAAATATCCATTCTCCGTTCCTATTTCGTCTTCCTTCCTCTGTTTTCCTTTACTCAGTTTTTAATTTTCTTCTCTTCTGATCAATCTCCGGTATCTCAGGTCCGATTTCTCTATCCTCAAATCTTGTTATCAGCAATTTTTTAAAATTTAAAATTTTATTTTTTAGTGGGTTTGTTTCATTTATTATTTTGTGCATTTTTAAAAAAAAAATATTTGCGAGTTTTTAACTTTGATCAAAGCTCTTTTACAGATTTTCAATGCTGAGATCATGTATTTTGATATATTTTAGGCAACCCAGATTTCTTTCTGCCTTATTTTTATGATTTTTATTGTTATTTATTTTTCATGAAATCCTGTGTTTGACTTATGAGATTAATATTTGATGTTAATTTTGTATATGATCTTTATCTATTTGTTTGATTATATAAAATGTCAACTTTATTCTTCATATAAGTTGTTGGTTCATATTCCCTAATTTTAGGGATTATTTGTTGATTACTTTCATGCATGCAATCTCTCTTTGATTTTTTGTTTTTATTTTTTGATCTGGGTGATTGTTTTTGAATGTGGATGCAAATTGATGATTTTTTTTGGGTAGAATTTTTGCTATAAATTGCTCATTTTATTGGTAGGATGGAAACACATTAACTCCTTGCTTATTGAATTGGAAAGATTGTGCAATTTGCCTTAATTTTAGTTTTATATTATTGGTGTATATGGAGCCACAATGAGCAATGACGTAGACGGGATTTGATTCCAAGTCTTGGGTACCACCTTTAACGGCCTAAAGACTATGATCAACTATGTTAGTTGGCATCGATTGTTAGTTATTGTGCATGTTTTATGCTTGCTTGTATGTCTAATTGTCTATGGACATCTATTTATTATGTGCATTGGTTGAGTAGCTAAAATTTAGTTTCCACAGTTGAAATCTTACAATTCTTTTCCTTAGTAGACTAGAAGGGTGTTTCATGCAAAGATAACATACTTCATTTAACCGATTCAGTGGTCTATTCTCGATTTGTTTCATTGTGAATGGGATCTATTGCTAGATAAATTGTTAGTTTTTGATTTTGTGTTCTATACTGTAGTGTATTGAAGCAACATGGGGGGTGGAAAAGACAACCACGACGAATCTGACAGAGGACTGTTCTCAAACCTTGCTCAGGGTCTTGCTGGTGGGCATGGTGGTCATGGAGGGTCTGGATACCCTCCAGGGCATTACCCTCCGCAACAAGGCGGCTACCCACCTCAAGGAGGCTACCCGCCTCAAGGTGGCTACCCACCGCAAGGCTATCCTCAACATGGTGGCGGCTACCCACCACAAGGCTATCCTCAACAAGGTGGCTACCCACCTCAAGGGTATCCTCCTGCTGGTTATCCAGGGGGTCATGGTTCACATCAATCTGGAGGTCATAGCTCACATCATGGAGGTATATATGCTTAAATTGTGGTGCTTGAGTTATACCTATTGATTGTTGTTTTCGCATTTTTATTTATTTAATTTGTTGGTCTTGTTATTTTTGTTCAGGTGGATCAGGCATGGGAGCCATGGGTGGAATGCTAGCTGGAGGTGCTGCAGCCGCTGCAGCAGCTTATGGAGCTCATAAGTTGACACAAGGCTCTCATGGTGGTGGTCTTTTTGGCAGTTCCCACGGAGGCCACGGTGGCGCTCCTTTTGGTGGTGGTCACTTCGGTGGTGCCTATGGTCATCATGGAGGGAAGTTTAAGCATGGGAAGCATGGGAAGTTCAAGCACGGAAAGTTCGGCAAACATGGGAAAGGTCATGGAATGTTCGGTGGCGGGAAGAAATTCAAGAAGTGGAAGTAATACAGTTGTGCCCTTCTCAGTATACAAACTTAATAACTCTAATGGTTGATTAGCACAGCTTAGCTTTACTTATAGCTGTGGCGTATGTACCTCTGTGCCCAAGGATTATTTTGGATGTAGTGTTATATTTCTTGTCATGTATTTTTTCTTTTGTGGCCTGACTCAGTTGTGTGGCATCGTCTTGACCACTGCAATATAGATATATACATAAATGGCGTGTGGCTTGTCTATCCTGTTTTCTATTTTCCGAGAGTAACATGGCAGGGCAGTCACAGATAAGCAGGAAATGTGAAGTTTTCTTGTTTTGACGAATTGCTGCAGTAAAATTCAGTTTGTTTACTGAATGAATTACTCTAATTGAGTTTTGTTGTTGATATGCCAATTGAAGTTTATCAGATTATACAAATTTTGTTTCTGTTCATCTCAATGATCACATTATGATATTGTATGCATACTTCCTTTAATTATTTTTTATTCCAAAAATGATCTAATTGCTTAGGTTGCTTAGATCAAACAAAAACTTCAAAAATACAAAATGTCTATATTTCCAAAAAATCTCGGGGGATGCAGTTTTCTGCCCCAAATGCCAAATTATTCACCGGTATTTTTGTTCATCATCGAACGAAGGATACAACTTCATACAAAACCGTATTAATTGAATAACAGACATGCCCAGATACAACTTTTGCACAGATCAACATCTTCACCAAGATCATTGATTCAACAAAATTTCCTACAACAGTAATTTCACATCTAGAATAGTAAAATAATTTGTTTGCCGTACCCTAGAACAGAGCAGCACATATCTTCATATGCCTGAATTGCAGCAAAGCCATTAGCCCTGCAGCAATAGATGAAAATCTCTCAATTGGAGATTGCTAGCACTGCCATTTTACTGCAGCAATAATCAAAATCTCTCTCTCAGCTGGAGCATGGAAGCACTGCCATTTACCAGTGGGCCTTGCACTGTAGAAGACCTAGATTTATGTCAGCTGATTACAAGCTGTGCTTCTTGTCATAATGCCTTTAAAGTTTTCATATTGGAAGAGGAATGTATGGTTGAGGCAGTTATACAGGAGGGTGATCATCCTCTGGCTTTTGTGGTGGTAATGGTTTCCACCCAGGTTTTTCATCCCAATACATGTCATAATATATATGGCCTGGAGTGTTATTCATCACACAACACCATATGCCTACATATCGCTTAACTCGATTCATGAACTTCCGTTCTCTCTCCTAAATGAGCATATTAACAAGTCAGCATTATAGGAACTAATGTAAGTTGTAGCAAGCATACAGACCAATAAAATATTTTGAAACAAAAACTTGCCTTGTCAGCAAACCCAAGGAAGGCATTTTGGATTGATAAGAAGTTTATAACCTTGATATTCTTGAATGAGGAGAACACTGTCTTGAACTATCAAACAGGTCAAAGATAAGCTGATCAATTGCATTGCCGAAGAGCTATGGTTAAAACAAAATGCTACTAAAAGCAGCACACTCAGCAGTCAACTAAACAGGAAAGTTCAGATAACAAACAAGCAAATACCTACTTAAAAAGTCCTTTAATCCCCCCCCCCCTCCAACCCCTTTTTTTTTTTTTTTTTTTTTCTTGAGTAAGATTGTGCCTTGGGGGAGGAGGGCATGTATTTGGAGTGAAATGAACAATACGCATTTTGTGCAATTTTCCTATTTTCTCCAACATTTGCCTCAAACACTGCCTAGCTCTAATGTAGTGTGGTGGACATAAGGCACACAACATTAGTGCTACAACACTAATCAAGAATAATGGAACAATACTTTTAGAATAACCTTCCTGTACTTTGAAAATATTCACAAGAAGATATCAAATAAAAAAAGCACCAAGCAGACAGACCACCATAATTTTTCAGCATGTTGGTACCTTAACTCTCATAATTCATCATGCAAATTAACACCATTTGTGAATATCCTTCCTGTACTTTGAGAACACTAAAAACAAGAAGATACCGAACATAAAAAGCACCAAGAAGACAGACAATCAAAACTTTCAAGCACATTAACACTCAATCTCATTATTTATTTTGCAAACTAACAATCATTATTTTTTATGCTTCTTGCTTTGTATGTAACAAGCCTTAGCTAAAGGAGGTATATGTTAGTGAACAATCATTAATTACGCCTCTATTACATAAAGGATGAATTGTGAAAACAAGTCCTATTATTTGAGGCTATGCATGAACTTGGAAATAGCAATCAAGTTATATAAACAGAAGGTCTCAAGACAACTGGAAGAAAGAGCATGTTATGCATATTATAAAGGGATAAATTCCAACAAAAGAATAATACAAAATAGGGTAGCTGAGATAAAACTAGTTCTGTGAGGTAACACCATTGACAGAATGGCATTTAAGAAATGATTCGGGACAGAGAGGTGCTAGGAGAAGGACCACTATGTTGTAAACAAGGCTAGTGGGGAAGGAGACACAAATTAGATGACCATGTATCACCCATATCTTTGTCAAGGGTGGAGTTGCGTGTCTGTCTATTTCTACATCGTGACCAATAAGGTATACAAAACAATTTAAGGAATTAAGTAAAAGGGCCAATAAGACATGATGAAGAGTAAAATCTGATAAAAATTACAATCAGACAATTCTAGGTTTTATAAAGCACCCACACTGATTTCACGTACACACTAGCTTCTGCTACTGCTTTTTATCTGTTCTTGTTGTTTATTTCTTATATATAACATATAGCCGTTCATTTATAGGGCTTCTTGTGTTGGGCTATTACTACTGGAGGTGGAGAAATTTTTAGGAAATAAATTCACCAGATGGGTTACTGTTTGAAACGACGTCTTTAAGTTATCAGCGAAAGGTGCAGCTGATGTGAACATTTACAGTGACTAAATATTGTAATACGAAGTATGTAAAAGCATATTGACAAGGCCATAATTACTTCAGACATATTAAAAGATGGTTTATCAAAAAACCCAACTATCATAAATGAGTACCGTTTCTTCGTTGCCATGTTTGGGAAACCTGAGCAGTCCGGCAGCACTAACATTTTTGGTAACATGGCAGTCTTTTGATCCCACTTGACAGAGATGCACATCAAGCCACGATTTTTTCACCTGCACAAAGAATTCCCGGTAAATGATCCTTTCACAATTGCAATATCTGTAAGATAAATCACTTATGTCCCTGTGCTAACGTACTTCTACAGACAGTGCTGGATTATCAAGGAAGGAGTATTCCCTGATATCAATATGAGGACCAAATTCTTGCTGTGACAAGTCTTGCAGCATCACGTTCACCTGCGGATAAATTATTCAAATAACAATGTCAATTGTCAAATACTTCATATAACATACAAAAAAAACACATGCAAAATATCTGCAATCAGTTTCAACAATTAAGTTTTAAAGGCTGTAACATACACAGCCGAACAACACCATTTACAGTTCAAGTTTCCCCTGTATAAAAATGGAACACGCAATGAGAAGAATGGGTTTACATAGTCTCCCAGAAGAACCTTTTAATATTACAGTTCAAGAGAAGTTCTGTGAAGTGGGAAAAGTTTAACCTCAAAAAGAAACACCCTACTTGACTTTTTTCTAACCTTCACAAGAATCAGAAACCTAACTAATTCTGATGGTAAGTGCACTTAAGTTTCAAGTTCTGCATGTAACATTTGAAATGGCCATGCAATTTAACAGATCATCTTGCAGCTAACAAAACAATTTTTAAAATTGAAGAACCTAGAGAGACAGAAGTAATTCACATTGAAACAGTATATACTGATGGCACGTCTTTCTGCAATATTGATTGTCAGATTCACAAACTTCTTAGTCTCTTTCCAATGGAGAGAAGGCAAGAGAAAAAGTATAGACTATAGAAACTTATTTATTCTTTCTTTTATTGGTTGTCATTGTTCCATCTCTTTTTCTAATTAAAAATACATACAACCCCTTAATGTCTATTGAACCCTCAATCTACTTTCTTATAAACAACTTCAACTACCACTAGTGAGTAAGCGATCCTCAGATGTAATGTAAAAGAGGATTGCAAATAGCTGAACAAGCACTTACAGGTTTTCTGTTGAAGATAAAAGTAAAGGAACTCCCTTATTTTTCAAATATACCAATATATATTTTCCAGAATCCTTGGACTATTATATGAACTCTAAGGTTGAATAACCAAACTTTCAAGCCTCAGAGAGCACAGTCATTAAAGCAGATGAGAAAAAGCTGAATGAATTTTCACCCTATGCTTTACCTCGAAAACATGATCCAGAGGGCATATAAAAGGTTGCCTTGTCAAGGTACCCTCCAGGATACCAGGATGACCAAACCAAAGCCTATCCAACCTGCACCATATTGGAGGCATGACCTATAAATCACAACAAGTAAATAAGATATCAGCATATACCTTCACAAGGCAATCCGAAATCCTGCTTTTCCAATTTCAAATGATGTCTCACAAATGCATACAGGAGGATTTACAAATTCTTATATTCAACATTTTCAGATCTTAAAGATGTAAGATTAGAGGAATTACTAAACTAGGCAACAATATGCTGCAAACCTTCATAATTATTAGAGTTTAGACGACTATATGTACTCTAGGAACGCACAAAATGCAATTTGAACAACCATTCTACCCTCAAAAGATGGGGATCGTTCTTGTTCACAGTTAATAATCAGTAATTAGAGGTATAATGGTCATCAATTAAAAAGAAGGCTTTGCAAAAGAATATATGTAGAACTTGAGGTACTTTTTGAGTAAAATTCAATTCAATTCCGGGGAAGAGGGTACACAAAGAAAAAGGAAGGTAAGCAGATGAAAAGGGACTGAAATGTCTAATGGCTGACAATTACTTGAGCGAAAATTCCTCTAGCCAAAAAGTATTTATTATGCATTTCTGTCCCTGACCTTCCTTTTTGCTTCATATACTCCTGTTAATATATATTAGTTCTTGCTTAATTAATGCATGATGTATGGCAATTTTGACAGTTTATAAACTTACAATGAACGGAATCAAAGATTTATTTTGGTCGAGATGCTATTAACAACCACAAAAGAATTGCATTCACAATCAGTCACATGCTTTGTTCTCACCAGGGTCCGATTTAGCAATGATGCAATAGCAAGTACAGTTCGTATCTGCTTCATCTGAGAGAAAGCATTAAAGTATCATTGAGTAGATGTCATATATAATAGCAACTACAGACATCAGCAATTTATATCATACCTGATAATTAACAAGAGCAAAGTGTGACTCAACATTATGCTCTCCATCCAATAATAAGCTTCTCGGAATGGTTGGCTTAAATGACAAGAAACCTCCTGCATTGGATTCAACAGAGGTGGCAGATCATCTATGTTCCAAAATTTCAAATAAAAACAATAGAACTTATGCAAAGCCTGATAACTGAACATGAAAAATTGCTAAATCCCAAGTATTGTTATTTTCTCTTTAGTGTAATTTATCTATTTCCCCATGACAGAGGAATTACTATCTCTTTAGTTGATCAAAAAGTCTCTAATCATTCATATTATTATTCTTCAAACTTTTCTAGATTCTATTATATTCAACTTACAATCATGAAGAGCAATACAGGACTTCTGTCATCAAATTTTAGGGAATATTTGATAATAACTGATATAAAATCAGCCCATAGCTAAAGCTAAAGCTGAATACACATGAAATATTTGTATAATTAAATGTCAACCAACTCCAAAGAAAGGCTTTCTCACTAGGAATTAATAAGGTGTAATACTAGAGACAAAAGCTCTAAAGGTGAAACCGATTATTCCAATGGAGTATGTTACAACCTTATAGTTTTAACTAAGAATGCAGGAAACCCTAAAGGAGTATAGATCCTAAAGAAAGCTTGTTAATTTTTTAAGAAGTTTCATATTTATATATTTTTTTTGACGGGAAGTTTCATATTATTCATAAACAATTTGAATTAATGCACTTCACTGCCATCTAAAGGCCCACAGATACCCAATCAAAAAGGCCAATCACTTCAACTGTTTGAAAAGAGAAATTTTCCAATTAAAAAAAAAAAAAAAAAAAAAAAAAAAAAAAAAAAAAAAAAAAAAAAAAGAGTAAAGAGTAAGTCCAATAACACATCAGCCTGAATTTTTTTGAGGGTAAAGAGTCCCACTGGGGAATTTCCCCCTTTATTTTCCAGTATCATCATAGGAATGATATGAACAACAAGCCCCACCCAGTATTACACACTCCCTCCATTTCAGTGTATATTATCCTAAGTTCAAGAATTTCAAAAGATTAAGAAGACTTAATCAACAGAAATATACTGTTTCTAGAACAATGCATCAAACTGATCAAAGGGCCACAAGGAAAGTAAACATAAAACGTAACAAGGTCAATCACTATGAATTGGAGGGAACACATATAAGCAGGCGAGAAATGCATACAGTTTTGCTACATGAAATGAAAGAGGATTATTGCTAACCATAAATGAGAAGAAAAGAGGAGGTACATGAAGTGATTTTGCTAAATGAAATGAAGCACACATCATGGAAAGTCAAGTACCTGGAGAGTTATAGTATTCCGGTGGATCAAAAAATACCATGGCTTCTCGTAATCGATGACGCTTTCCTTCAGTACCAGCATATTGGAATGTGGTGTGCACTGCATATGGCTCCAGTTTAAATTGTTGATACATGGCCTGTCAATCAGATATCACAATATAAATCACTCAAAATTATCCTTACATGATACAGCTCAGAAGTTTAATTCAAAGTCGTGAACCAAGTTTAATAGTCCGCAAATCAGAAGCAATCTTATCCAAAGGGGGTTAAGAGCCTATCATAGTCCATCTTGGAGTCTGGCGTCAATAACAGCCCACTTCAGTCATCCCTTCCAAAATCACCAAACAACTTATTACTAAATTCTCATTAGCAAGTAACCAATATTACTTCTACATCAATCTACATTCAATAAATATGCTCCAGATACATACTCCTAGCCAGCATTCAATGTATTGGAATAGATCCTGGTAAAGAAGCCAAATCTCCATGCAATCTTTGACCTTAAGGAGAGCTACTTAGGTACAAGGTTCATAAAAGTGTACTATTCAGTGCACCTGAATCAAGCAAGAAGCAACTGTTGTGTTATATCTTTAAAAGGGTATAGCGTCGACTTTCAAAATGTCCCGTCCCCTCATCCCCGCATAGCGCCCAATGATGCTATATAACAAGCCTACACCGAAGGATCAAATGTCATACAATTAAAGTCCAACAAGTGGCATCCAACAAAAATTAGTATTTCTTAGAGTATTAATTTGTTTATTTTTTCTAAGAGTATTATTAAATTATAGGTCTCAAGGCCTACATTAATGAGTGGCTCTTATCATTCCATAACCCAAACTCAAATAGTTTATCAGTGTGAAGGCTCATTTTCCGAAGGAATCCAAAAATTTAATTTATCTTATTTACATTTATCCATAAGATTAGTTTTAGGAATATACTATAAGACTTGTGTAGCAAGTAGGGATTTTTCGTGATTTTACTCCCTCCCTTATAAACATACACCCTAATCAACAATCCACCAATCACTATAGACCTCCAAACCCAAAAGCCTCTCATCTAAAGTATTAAAGCCACCAAAATAATCATCATAACACCGCCCAAAAGTACAAATCTTATGCCTCTAAAATAATCAGGGTCCAATGTCCTTCAATAAGCCCTTAAACCTCACGCATCACCCATTAATTAATCATCATTGACGCATCATATCTAACATATAAATCCAAAAGAAATAACCGGACTCTCATTATAAGTATATACTTCTCCCTTTCGATTGTCCCTTTTTAATAGTTAATTCTACACCAAACACATTAACGTGTGAAGCCTGTTTAGGCAATCTTCCCCATGCCTTCACATAGTAAGTCTATCTAGTCCATGAGTTTTTCCTAAATTCATAACAATCACTTCTATCTTAATCTTTTTTCTAAAAAATTCTTCCTATAACAGAAGCATACCCCAAGCAAAAGGACCCATCACAGACTATCAAGTACCCTCTTATTCCTTTGTGTCAAGGTTCCTAAAATTGTGATAAGTTCTACAGAAACTGAAAATGGATAAAAATGATGTCCTTCAACATCCTAACCAAACTCATTCTTCTATATATGCTAAATTACTAATTGAGACCTAATTTCAAATTATTCTCCTTACAAAAGAGTAAAGCCTAAAAAGGGTAAGGCCCAAGGAAGAACTTTCAAGTACTCTTTAACAGGCTAGTTCTGCATCAAAGTGACAGACGATCCAGAAAGAAAATCGAAAGAATTAACATCTTTTGTTTTTAGACTGACAGAAAAGTAGCAAATTCATAACTCCTGGTTCAAGTATGCATTTCGGTACCATGAGGCACTCAATAATAAGTTTTACCTGGTCTTCTGGAGTACAAAACTCCATCAAATTGCTTACTTGAACAAAAGCGAGGAGTGATTTTATAAAAGTTAATGACCCCCATTTATTCACCTAGCAGAAGCTGAAAGAATGAAAGCATTACAATCTTGATCCTGCTCAATTGAAACCTTTCACGCCAGAGAAAAAACTGACCACCAAAGAATAAGCTTTTGTAAGGAATCTCAGTAGTATCGAGGGAGTCTCCTTAGTAAGCAGTCTCTTTAACGGCCACAGCAGGGGCATGTAGTGTGAGTCATTTCTTCCTTTTGTGGAAAGGGTGAAAGACTTGAAACAGATAGTGTTTCTAGCATAAATATGTATGGTGCTTGCTTATGCAATGAAAACAAATAACAAAATTTTGATAACTATCGTATTAGCCGCAAAACATTTGTTGATCCAGGCTTTCTGACAAATTTATGAGAACAATCTCAGCCCTCCTGCATTTGTGGTTAATAGCATGGAAGTCTATCTTAGTACATCCAGTTGCTTTTTAAGTAGCAAGTTATGGTTGAAAGGTGTTACAAAATGTGAATGCCTTCTGCAACTACACTGGCACCAGGCCACCGAGCTTGCCAATAGCTTGTTCATAGAAGATCTATTGATGAACTTGTGTTGGTAGTCAAAGGAGCCCATAAATAAGTGAAATATTGTTCAGCAACTACAAGTTTTATACATTCTATGAACCCTTAACACTGTGCATGAACCTCTATCGTTAGTCCTGTTAAAATTCCGAATCCACGTAGGGTATTTACACAGATAGGAATGTAAGGCATGATCCCAACCACTCCCACACTCATTCATTATTAAAATCACCCAACTTCCCATCACGTTTTATCTAAGAAGCTATTAAACTCTTCCAAGGATCATCTCTTAATTTACCTGTCTCTATACTTGGAATGGAGATAATGTCACAATCTGCAAACAAAAAACTGAAAAAATAGCGTACCTGAACAAAATAAGTATGTCCACTACAGAATATGCTGGCAGGAAGGAGCCCAAGCTTAAGATTCCCATCATAAGCATAAACTAAACCACTTTCATCATCAACAGAGGGCCCAAGCTGCCTTCGTACAATATCATTAAACCCATTCTGATCCCATATCTTTTCATCAGCAAGAAGCAACTCTTTCCAATGTTTAGCCAACTTCTTTGAAGATTCTGTGGGTCTCCAGTGAAAGATCCCTATATTGTATGCACCACTAACTGTTTGACATATAGAAACAATGAGTACCATACATATCAGACAAAGAATGTATCTCTATGAATCTTTAGTTGTAAACAATGGTACATGTATTGTCATTTTTAGAAATAGGGCAACCCACTAACATTGAGGAACGGACTCATTGGTCATTAAGAACCGTAAAAACCCATTTAACTTGGAGCTCATTTTTTAAGGGAAGATGCATACTAGCATTATTATGTTTATAGTTAAAGCACCCTTAGATCAGGTTGACTTTTGCAAACAATTGAATCAGAACCTGCCTTTACAAGATCACTAGGACTTAACAGAAAACTACTTCCTTTGTCCCCCAAACAAAGTCCCATTTCACCTTCAACTATATCTTCATTCACTTTTCATCTTATTTATCTATTCACATATACCAGCATAAGTACATGGGTTATTACTTTATCAGGCTAGGAGCCAGCTGGGTAGTCTATAGAGTTAATTGCATGCTCCACTTCAAGAGCTCATATTGTGCATTATACCTTAAGTATAGAAATCATAATACAGCTCTCTAAGACAAGAAATGACACTATTAGAGGACTTAAAAAAAAAGGCTTTGTACTTTTCACCTCAATAAGTTCAAACATAGGCCAAAAAGTTAATAATAAGTACTCACAACAACTAAAAGTTACGAGAAATGCATGTAAGGAGTTAAGGACCAAAGAGTCCAAAAAACCTTGTGAATCATAATTAAAGCACATTTATCTAACAAATGTACATACAAGGAAGTCCCTAACAAATGTGCATACAAGAACCTTGTGAATCATAATTAAAGCACATGTATCTGCAGTTACATTTTACATGATCATCCCAGTATAAGGTGCCAAGATTTTCTGTTTTAGTCTTTTAGAGGACAGCTTAGATCACACTAGTATCATCACTCCATAACTTAAAAAACGAGACAACAGCCAGGGAATTTAGGTTGATAGGGGGCTGGTTAATCCAACTGATGGTTCTTAGTAACAGAGGTGCCAGAAAATGATAAAGCTCAGAGATAAGTAGGAAAACACATTGGAATTATCAAGGAAAAGAAATACAAGGTCCAGAATACAAGAAATGCTGTTCCTGCTGACACATATATATACATATGAGAATAGTGGATATATTATTGTAATTAGAAACTGCGAAATGTACCCAATTTTTGCTATTAAGAATTTAGAATATTTTTGGCATGATAATTACTGCTTACTCTGTTTCACAAAAATTGCAACACCTTGACTAGCACATTTGCCAATACATATCTTTGATCATAGATATCGTTAGTTGTCTATTAAGTAGTAAAGAATATAAAAAGTTGATATCATGAAAACATGCTATAAAACTATTATAACAACAATTTAATTAATAATATTTTCTTTTAGTAAATGAGTGAAATAAGTGGTCAAACTTAGTATTTCTAAAAAGTGCACACAGCTAAAAGTATTGCAAATTTGCAATTATATTGAAATAGAGAAAGTAAGACATTATTCAGTTGACACTAAAACAGATACTAACAAGCTCACCTTGCTGCCAAGCATCCAACCTATCATCAACCACTGTTGGCACAACTTGATCAGTTGAAGTCAAAACATCTGCTTCAGGAAAACGAGCAAAATATGGAAGGGGGTTCTGTTACATAAACATGGAACGTTACCAAGGGGCAGATAATACATATTATAAAGAATAGCAAACCCAACAGATAAAACATCATAGATTGGTTGATAAACAAGCAAAGTAATAAGCATAAATGTGACATTGCAGTCTCAGGTAATATTCATAAAATTTAATTTTAGACATTCTAACAAGAAATAAAAATGGTTAATTGTAGACATTTCACGTCTTTACATTCATGTGAACTGATGAAAAATGCTGGAACAAAAACGAAGAACCCAATTAGAGCATGATCATAACAAACACCATGTAACAATTTAATGGTTTGTCACCTAAATCTAAAATTATGTGTTTAATGAAGCAACCTAGATAATAGTTTGGGGAGCTTGAATTTATAATGTTTCATGATGGTCACATTTGAGTTGCGTCAGATAAATAAATAAATAACTACCGAGTAGAAGTCAAGGGCAAGTTTAGCATATTAAGGTGAATCGTACCATGACACTTGAATTGGCCCTTGTTGTAGACCATGTTCAAACAGCAGTATAGTCCATAACTTAGAGATAATGAGCTATCCTTAAAACTATAGACAACTACACATCCGTATCAAAAGTTTGACTTCTTTGACTCTTGCAAAAGCAAGACAATCTAAGCCCCATCATTGTAGTGGACTAGTGGTGGTAATGGGGGGAGGGGGGCAAGGCCGACACAACTGACCAAATCCTTAAAATGGTTCACATACAACTCTGAATAAAATAAACCTTAATTCTTCTTTTCCAGTAGCAGAAGTGCAGAACAATTAATTTTAGTACTGTAGCCCACAGATGAATCTAGAGCATCAGTCTGATGAATGGAGCCAAAATATACAAAAACAATTCAACCCAAACATAGAAAAGGACATTAGTATGAGTGAAGAAGAGTACCTTCAACCAAACCATGTCCGTGTCACACATTAGTAATTCATAGCCAAACGGCAGAATAGAATCGATTAAAATAACCTTTTCTCTTCCCATTTTATGAAAAGTTGGTGATCCCCATCCCACATCTATAGTGCTCATGTGGCTTCCCATATCAAAAACTGGAATACCCTTCCAATACAACGCTTCCAACAATTTAGTATCCATTGCACCTATAATAACAATATCCAAGTTACATAAGACTTCTATACCTCTATACATGCACCTATTTCTGTTTTAGTTAATTAATCGAATCTATAATCAAGAATCGAAAATATTGAACTTCTTTATAGTATCCTGACAGTGATTTGTGGAGAGGGAAAAAGTGTACTCTGTGATGTGTTCCATCCCCCCCCCCCCCCCAACTCACATACTTAACATTGATGAATAGACCATTTCCAAACATCAGTATATATTCAAACCAGCTTAAATATTGATAAAAGTTATTCCTTTTCCAATATTCCTAATTGCTTATGATTGAATGTCTGAATCCTTCACTAGATTAATGAAAAGCTTAATTTATGACCCATTTCATGCACAGGTTAAAAAAGGAAAATGTGTGTTGATATACCTTTGCATTATATAAAAAATTGTAAGTTTCCAATTCCACAAATATGTGGACTTTATTAGCTATTTTAATTTAGCAATGTACTCCCTCCGTCCACAAATAATCTTCCTGAATTCAATTTAAGATGTACACAAAAAATCTTCCTAACTTTATTTCTCTAACATTCTAACTCCACCCTACTATATTTCTTAATATGTGTGTACAAACTTAAACGGAAGATTATTTGTGGACGAAGGGAGTACATAGATAAATGAAATTAACTACTCCGTATTGCAGTTTTTGATCATAGCATACTCTTTAATACTACAATAATGAGTGATTGACTAATACTAGTAGATAGATTGTATCTTTTATAATTTAAAATGCTTTGTAACTTCCTAAAGTGATTAATTTAGTTAAAGAAAAAGACACTTGGCATGAAAATGGGAAGCCAAGTTTAGGATATGGTTTTAGCATTATAGCATATATGTTGTTAAGTATGGGCTTGAGTCGCACCCATCATCAAGAGATAGATTCTACTTTACAAAGCCAAAGGAGGTTCACCATAAAACCAAATAGCAATAAGGGAGTAGCTCCTTAGCCTTATAAAGTGATAAACTATCTCTTATTTTATCAATATAGGACACTCACATGTGATATTTGGGATAAAGCTATTAAATCTTCAACACTACCCCTCACATTTAAAGTCCCTTTTTTTTTACAGAGCTCACATGTGATATTTCATGCTGCAGAAGCATGCTTTTAACTCACAACCTCACATGTAATATCCATTTAATTTGACCTAAACTAGACCCAAGGGTATAAGACGGTCCACATCTAGGGACTGGCTGATATCATGTTAGATATAGGCCTCAAGAATACCCACCATCAAGAGAGAGTCCACTTCGTGAAACTGCAGGAGGTTCTACCTTAATATCATATGGAAATAAAGAGAGTAGCCTCTCGGCCTTATAAAGTGAAAAACACTCTATTTTAATCAATGTGGGAAACTTGCATGTGTTGTTTGGGGATAGGGCTACACAAGCTCCAGCATATGAGTACCTAATAGATATTTAAATCCTAATACAACCAAAAAAAATAAAAAATAAAAAATAAAAAATAAAAAAGAAAAGAAAGTTTCCATAAACATGTGAAATTTTATTAATTTAGAATGGTCTTCACTTAAAGTAACATAAATTCACTTAAGCATATATGTTTTTCCATCAATAGAATTAAAAATGCATCATCGTTACATCAGTTTATATTTTGCTTTGGGTCAAGAAAGACTATAGAAAATGGTTCACTTACTAGTACTTAGTCTTATTTTTAATAAGTAGCAGATTACTCAAAGGGGTATCTAAACAAATAATATAAGATTATAAGGATCAAGCAACACATTGTACATTTGACCAGTGAAAGCTTTACATATGGCACCGGGGTATTTATGATGAGTCAAATAGAAATCATGAAATTGTTTAAGACTGCTTAATAGTGAGGCCACATCAATAGCAGCGTAGCAGGCCACTTATTGAATAACGATGGATGTATCATAGCAAACAAAACTCCGGAAGATTCTCTATAAGTAATTCCAGGTTTCAACAAAAGGATACAGAATGCTGTTGATCCAGAAACAAGTTGTTCAAGCAAGAGCTTGAGGTTGAAAGAACTCACCAACTAGGAGATTTGACAAACCCAAATCAGTCAAGTGTTTAACCCAAGTCAAGATGAAATCCATGAATGCATAGTTTCCAAATGTGACTATAATAACATTATCCTTCACTCTCTCCTCCACCAACTCTTTCGTCAAACGAAAGGAGTCCAAAGGTGGCATTTTCTTAGATTTAGGAGACTCCCATATAGGCTTCAAAGATGTGCTCTGAGGATTGACTGGAAAAACTGAACCCGTGCTTAAACCTGTCGGCAGAGAAGAGTTTGGTGCTTTTAGAGAAGAATCTCCTCCTGAAATAGAATTCATAACACAGATATATCTAATTCTATTATAAATTCACCTTTCATACAATTATTTTCTTTTTCATGAAAACATAGAGCACACAATATATGGGTTGGATAGAAAAGATTTTTTAAAGGCACCCAAACCAAGGTATTCCACCTATTGTCACACAAATAGGCTCCATAAGATGAGAATAAAATGTTTTTGGCTCAAATCTCCATAGAAGGTTCTTCCCCTACAGGCTACCCCCCAACCCCTTCTCCTTCACCCTAAAAACACTTTTCTTTATATTGAAATTTCTGACACCTCGACCTGCCCCAAGATAGAGAATAAAGTCTTCACCTTACACATTCAACCAAGTTATGCATGTTACTTATTTCTCTTGACTAAAGCAAGCCTGTGTTACTTCTATGTACACAGTTACTCTCAACCTGACCCTTTCTAAAAGCGAAGTCATTCATCTATTCTATCATACTCACTTTTACAATCCGTGTATCATGAATAAAAGCAAATTTAGAACATAGTGCCCAAACATCATTCGGTTTCAGTTCAACATGCCTATCCAATTATCTGTCTAATGTACAACATGAAAGCCTAGGTTTCTAAAACATACTCCGGGAATATTTCAAATTCTAGTAAATTTTTCCACATTATTGACCCACAATAGAACCAATAAAGTTCCAATATATCTCTCCTTTACTCCAATTACCACCCTTTTTTTAAGTTCATCTCTCAATAAAGCATAGTCCAAAATAATACATCTAAGCATGGTAATAAATTTACCACTGTAAACATTACCATCACTGAAAACTCGCTTAATACATATAAATTATTCGTAAGCAGAAGGTCAAGTGAACCCCTCTTCTAAAACAAACAAAGTAACTATACAAGGGACTAAATGCAAAAGTTGAACCCCAACCAATATACAAGTAATACTTCTAAAAAAAATGTCTTCTTCTATACAAGCTCATCATGGCAGCCACAAAGAAAACATAGTCTAATTCTACATTCAAAGGGATGTTCAACAACAAAAACCCAAACAAAATCATCATCGAAATTTTATTATCGATGCATTCCTACACCTCAAACGTGAAAATGCGCCCCTCATCACCCAATTCACATATCCTAAATCACTCAAAATACATTCCTTAAAAACAGATCAATTGAAACTCCCTAATATCAATCTCAATTTAAAAGATCAAGAATAAAAAAGCAATAGCATAATAATAATCACATCAAGTGAATACAATAATCTAACACATACTACACTCTAAACTCATCAAAGCACAAACATAACAAAAATGGAAGGTATTAAATTCTTTCTAATATACACTGAAGTAATTCAAAATCCAATGAGCTGATAAAATATACCCAAAAAAATCAAAAGAGAGAAATTTACTTGAAGTTGAAGAGGAGAGAGAAATTCGAGCATCAGGAGAATCAGTCGAGTAAATAGCAGAGAATACATAGAATGAAGAGAAGATAATTCCGATGATCACAGTAGCATAAATAGTAACAAACAATGGCTTCGATTTCGTAGCTTCTTGACATGGATTTTCCCACGCCATTTTTATACTTTTTTCTTCAATCAACAAATCAAAATGATCAAAAATCGTAGTTTTCTGCACAGATTATAACTAGTATAAATTCAATGTGTTTTTGAATTAGATTAGAAATGAGTTTATAGTGATCATCGTGAAGAAATTGGGGAAGATCATTGGAAATTAGGGTTTGCTGGACTTTGGTTGATTTGTGAAGAAGACGAAATTGGTCGGAAAAAATGTGTCAGATTGATTAGTAGAGTGAGTGTGTTTTGTTCAAACGTAAAATTTAAAATAGGAAAATGTCTGATAAATTAAATATAGTGTGGTACTGTGGTTAGGTTGGTTGATTAATTTAGAATAACATTAATTAGATCCTGCCAAAAACTACCGAATCAATGTTCAACAAGGTAGAGTAATAAAGAAATAACACTCGCAAAGAGTCCAAGTAGATACTCTCTCCGTCTTATAATACAATGTCTTTTTTTGGATAAATCAAAATCCAACATCTCTTTCTATTTAAATGTGGTACTTTTTGGCATAATTAATCTCTTTTTATGAGTTGCCATTTTTTTTTCTTTTAACATCAATTTTCAACACTCTCTCTTTCTATCTCTTAAATTATTCCCAACTACTTTTTCTGTCTCTCTATCTCTCTAACCCCACATGCATATATGTAATTCTAATCATTAGTTTTAAGAAATTTACAACTTTCTTAATTCACGCGTAAAACCCCAATGAGACATTGTATTATGAGACGGAGGGGGTATAATTTAAAATGAAAATAAAAAATAATTGTATTTGTTTGGTTAAATTTTTGTGTTGTCGTCGTCTTGGTACTCGCAAATTTAGGATAGTTATGCAAAATTTGACATTGAATTAAGCCAAAATTTATTACTGTAGGAAAATTTGTCATAATAATCTTTTATGCAGTGACGGATTCAGGAATTAAGATAAAGAGTATGAAATTAGACTCAATTAAGAACATGTAAAGTAATACATGGAGCATTATCATTTTTTGTCAACTAAAAATTTGAGTTACTAATTCATTTCAGACCTATCCTTTAACAACTGGGTGACAAAATCTCTAATTAAGAAAAATGCAAGTAGATAATATAAAATTAAGTAACTTAGGGACGTCTTTGATTACAAGTCGCACCTAGTTTCTCACCTTGATAATATTTATCAAGAGTTAAAATGACTATGTCCACAATAAAGTGAAGGGTATATTTGTAAAAGGTAGTAAATAGTAACTTAACCCTGTCATAACGTCATTGATGTCTGACAAATTGTTTGGATAAAGAGAATTGGAGGAAAATAAAGGAAGAAAAGAGAAAAGAAGGGATTCATCCTTCCTTCTTTGGATACGTTTTGATAGGAGGGAAAGGAAAGGAAATGGAATGATTCATTTTCCTACTCTCTTTAATAAACCAATTCCTTCCGACGTTGGAAAGATTTGGAGGGAAATTTAACTTTACCTTCTCCTTCCCCTTCCTTCTTCTTCCCTCCCTTCCCTTTCTCTTCTACTTTGCTATCCAAATAAACAGTGTAGACCACCACCTTCATCTTCTTCTTCCTCCTACAATCCCCATACACCTTCATCTTCTTTGCCTCCTTCTTCAAGCCGCTTCAATGGAGTCTTCCCCAACATCATTTTAGGCAGCTTCGCTGCCAACAAATAAAACGAAAACTCTAAGAAAAAATGTAGTGAAAAAAGGGCATAGCTAACCATGAATTGTACGTGAGCTTTCCTTGGCCTCCTCTATTAATTTCTTCATTGAAGTTTCTGAGCATTCTCCATGAATGCTTCTTCTTCTTCTTCTTCTTCTTCTTCTTCTTCTTGAATGCTTCTGAACTTTCACCAAATGGTATTAAATTCGCGAAATAAAGGGGTTTTTATACAATTTGTTCCAACTATATAAAAAGTACGGAAAATGATTTTTAATTGCATGTAAAAGCGCAAATGTTAAAGCAATTTTATTACATATTTTCCATTTGATAAACAATACATGTTTATCAAGGTGAGAAACTTGTATTTTCTCTTTGATTATTACTTTTAATTATTGTTGAAATGGGGTATAATTGTACGTATATGTACCCCTTAGATTTATCTTTATATACCTATATGCAATGTCTTCTTGCGAGAAATAATATTTTTCTTACAAGATGAAACCTTAATCAATTTTTTCGGTATTTTGGCATTTATCCATATATATATACCAAGCACGTGAACCCATTTCATTCCTTTTAAATTCATTTCCCTCCCTTTTCTTCACTACATGTCTACATCAGAAGAAGCACTATAGCCCGAAAAATCACATAAGACAAAGTTGAAAAGAAAAGGGACCTTACATGTAAGGGGAAGTGTTGAAGAATAGACCTCCCAAGTATCACCACATATAAGTGTCCCACATTGGTTAAATAAAGAGAATTAATCACTTTATAATTAAGGCTAGGGGGCTACTCCTCCTATTATCTTATGGTTTTGAGGTGGAACCACGGTATCAGAGCTAGACCCACGATATGGGACCCTAAATGGCTAAAGTTCATTGAGCCAAATTGAGTAGGTCCATGTGAGGGAAAGTGAAGAAGCACTCTAGCCCGAAAAATCACATGACACAAAGTTAAAAGGGACCTTACATGTAAGGGGGAGTTTTGAAGAATAGACCTCCCAAGTATCACCACATGTAACTATCCTACATTGGTTGAAGAAGAGAGATTTAATCACTTTATAATGCTAAGGGGCTACTCCTCCTATTGCCATATGGTTTTAGGATGGAACCTCCTTTGGTCTTGTGAAGTGGACCCTCTCTCTTGGTTTGCGGGTGCGGCTTAGACCCATATTTATCATAGTATCAAAGCCCAAGTTGGGTTGTGTTGTGATTTGGGCCAATATTATGGACAACTCACATGTGGAGGGGGGGGGGGTGTTGAGCCCATGAGAAAACCCTCGCGTAAGTAGAAGTGTTGTCCATATTAATTGAGTGTATAAGTGAGAGTTTGTATTGGGATGTGTATCCCACATTAAAGAAAGTAGAAAATTGTGTCCACTTTATAAGGCTAAGAGGCTACTCCCCTCATTGCCATATGGTTTTGAGGTGGAGCCTCCTTTGTCGTATAAAGTGGACACTCGTGGTGGGTGCGGTCTAGGCCCGTTTATCAACATCACTCCAATTAATTTCACTTTCATCTTTTTCTCTCCATTCATGTAACACCCTAGAAATTCATTTCCTTTGAAATATCTGTTTTGCCCTTTTAAAAATACGAAATAGGAAAATCTAAGACATTACCGCCACCGTGATAACGGCTAAGGTGATTATCAAAGACACACAGCGGAAGACTTGTTTCAAAAACCTTTTAAAATAAAACTAACTTCAATAATCAAACCAAATGAAAGTAAATTCAAATCAAAGTCAAACAAAGTCAACTTACAACTTAGAACCATTATAGGCCCTTTCAAAACCCAAACTGGTATTTAAAACAATGCATTAGTCCAATCAAGCAAACAAAAAAATATTTAAAGCAATTAAGTAAAACATATCCTTATAAGAACTAAACAAGATTCGCTCTTCACTCATGTCTCAACATGAATATGCTTCATCACTTGAAAAGCTTCTCTTTACTTTGCCCCCATTACTCGCCATAAGAAATGGGTTGTTGCACGACCAAGATAAAGACAAGGCCAAACAAACACACAATCAGCAATGTTGAGTACATAAGCGCAAACGAAACACACTAACATGGATTCATCCTAGCAACATTCGGCTTACCTGTAGCTCAGAATTCAACATACACCCAACAACAAAATTCACAATACAATTCATCATTAATTTATATTGATTACGCATCGAACGGGTTTCCCCCAAAACCTGCCCCATTAAAGGGGTACTAACACGGGAGCTAATTACCCGAAAGTGGCGGAATTCCTGCGCATAATAAAAAGGAAAATACAACGTCCTGTACTTCCAGTAAAAGTTATGGATATTACGGATTTTTACCATATACCCATGAAATTCACAAAAATGTCACTAAATGCCCTAAATGACTAACGGACGTTAACTCCATTAGTCATTAAGGGTTAATTATGCTAATGACAAACGAAATTAACTGCGGTTAGTCATTAAGGGCATATGGTGACATTTTTGTGAAACTCAAGTGTATATGGTGAATTTGAAACTCAAGTGACTCTCAATCCATAGAACAATCAATCAACATAGTTCATTCAATCAATCAAATATTCCAATTTAATTCTTGAATAATTAGTGATCACAATTAATTAATTTAATATTGAACCCTTTTTAAACTATCTCGGTGTAGAAATACCTTAAACGCATAATGCACCACAAATCCTATCACTCAGTGTTTAAAACACCTTAAGTGCATGTACGCACCGAAATATAATTTAATCTTCGTGTACTTAGATACTTAAATAGCTCAATTCCCATGCTTATAGCATCAATAAAAAATTATATGAACCATAATAAAATTCTTTTTCAATATTCCAAACCAAATTAAACATTTAGTTTAATTAAACATGTCTTTAAACATGCCATTAATAAAAGTGTGGTTCATACATAATGTACCAAACATCATCAATTCCAACAATAAATCATTCCACAACATTCATGCCTCATAAATAATTCACCAAATCAATCCAATTCCATACAACCAATCCAATCCAACAATTTCAACCAATTCCTAGCATGATACTAACTTGGAATTAATCAAAATAGATCCTAGCATGCTTCTACACTCTTAATAAATATCGAGTACGCGTACATAACTCGAATACGATCTCAAAATCGCCACGGCTAAACAAAGTCACTCACTTGGAAATCTCCTACAACCCACAAATACCAAGAGGCATTAATACACACTCTAACTAAATTTCCAACAATATAAACACACTTTAAAACACTCTTAAACCTCCCAAAACATTCTGAAAATTATTTATTATTACTTGGTCTTATTCCCAATTAATGGATAATTAAAATTCCTTCAAGAAACCCTTAATTTAGCCTCTATATTAAAATTACAGCAATATAAAACCATTAAAACTTGGTGTAAATTGCTTTAAAACATTAATTTCAATAATATAAGTCGACCGCAATCAATTCCCATCAATAATCACCAATTTAGAAACCTAGGGTTTAATCAATTTGGGGATTTTTCATATAAAATCAAATCTAAAAGTTATATATATTAAACACCATTAAAAATCATTATAATTCCATCACAATATACCCAAAATCATCAATCATCAAAGCTATTAAAAATTGAAGAAATAATTTTATTTTAAAATAAACAAAATCGCACGCACACACGCATGGGGAGGGGAGCTACCGCGC